ACGCCTCCGATTTCATCCTCCCCCCCCCTCCCCCTCCACCTCATCCCCCTATTTATGTCGTTTCGTATCGATGGCGCCGTTTTGAAACAATTTGTTGGGGGGTGCGCAACGGGGAGGGAGGAGGGGGCTGGAGGAGGGGGGCGCGAGGGGGCGAAGAGGGGGAGGGGCGCAAACAGTGATTGGTCATCGTATGACAAGAGTCGCGGGTCATTCTTCAAATGGCTTCCTCCTCGTCGTCGTCGTTGTTGTTGTTTTTCCCGCTGTGATGCTGCTGCGTTCGCGGCCGCCATTGTTGATAACATCCATGTTTTTTTGACACGAAAAGCATCATACGCGATGATACACAGCAAAAGAAAAACGTACTCGAAAATAATTAACAGGATATGTATTTTGTAATTTAGTGCAACTTAAAACGTAGGTATGTTGTAAATTCACGACGACAGCCCGTCCTTTCTTGTCGATATGAATGTAAGTTAGTAAATAACGTACCACTCGTAATTTGTTTTTACAGGGTTGAATTGTAATTTAATATACGAAAAGATTTTTGGAAATTTTCTCATCCGGGAAAGCCAGTACACACGGCACTAAACAATCTAACACAAAATAATATAGTACACTATAGATCAAAATGCGCCAAAATAACACGCAGCCCCTTCCCTCTTCAAGAAACTTGGGGGAAATAAGACTCCGCGCGCAGTAGACTTGATATTCATTCCTCACAGCAGTACTACCAGCCCGGTTGGGGGAGGGGGATGGGGAGAGAGATGGCGCCATGATGGTTCATTAAGAGCTAAGAGGTGTGGAGAAGGCGCCGCCAGCACCGTGCGTCCATCTGCAAGTCGAACTAAGGGCGAGAAAACTTTGTCGAGATTTTAAAAGCGGCCCCTCCTCTCCGCACAGCTCGTACCGCCAGCCAGGAGGAGGCAGGCCGAGCTGCCGACAGCCGCGCGCTGCAGGCCAGAGTTCGCGCCACTTTATAGCTTGGAGGGCTGTGCGAAGCCTTCCCGGGGGCAGCGGGGCGCGAGCAAGTAAAATTTCCGTATGTTCAGCAGCCACACTGTCAAAATGACAAAAAATAACACAAACACATGTAAGAGAGAAAGAAACCACATGACCTTGCTTGCATAACAATCGGAAAAATATAAAATGAATTTTCTCGTTCGTATGTCGCGATCCTTTTCTGGCCGCTGCGTTCCCCCTTTTCACGCACTGCGTGGCGGGCGCGCTGCACAGAGAGGCCTCGCCTTCTTTTGTGTGATGAGCCAAATCCAATATTTTGAGTGGCTCGGCAGCGACAAGGACGCCCAGCTTCTTTCTTCCGCTGCGCCAGTGTAGGGAGGTGCCAATAAAGCCACAGTGGCGCACAGAAGAAAGAAACGCGTAGATAGGGTGTTTTATATTTTTGGTACTGTTTCCTGAACTAACTGAAAGATTTCGGATCTCAACAACTTGCAACAACGCGCCCCGTGTCTTAAACTACTTTAGGAGTTATGACGTCAGAAGGGTGGCTTGTTGGATGCGACGTCAATGCGATATCCGCTTTTGCGACCACG